AATATTCAAGTTCCATAGTGTGCAAGGCATTATTGCACTTATTGACAAGCTAGTGTCAGTTTTGTAGAGGACCTTTTCTACCCTTAGAGTTCCACAATTGATTATTTTAGACAGAAAATAAATCCCTAGCCCCGAATATCCACCTACTGAGTCATTGAAAGGCAATGGCCCAACACAAACATTGTACTAAAAGATGAAACTAAGAAGGAGCAACTGAGAAGCCAAGTCCAAATGGAAAATGTTCTTTCCAAAATGAAACACTTGCTGCAGGAAAGCCTGGGGTGTCAACCCAAACCTGAGAGGGGCTTGGCTCGCACATCTTGGCTCCAGGGTGTGTCTGACTCTCTGGGTGGCTCCATGGGACGCAGGGCCCTGAAGACAGTGGTTTGCACAGTCCTCCCAGGTCACCGTAACCTGACTTCCTTTGCCAGCCCCAGGGCCCGAGACCCAGCTGCCTTCGTGGGCCCTGTTGAGTTTTCTCCACGAAGCGTCCCAGCCAAGGTACACTTGCTGCTACCCTCATTTTTGATTACGAGGCAGATCTTGTTCCCATTTGCTCTAAGTATTACTGACTAGTACCTACGGATGACCCTGCTAGTCCATGGCAGAGTGGCAGGTGGCCAATTCCTCCTGGGCAATGCCAGTGTTACTGCAGGACCTCTGCAGGCCACAGGGGGTGATGGCTGCGGCAGAGACCAGCCTGTGGGAAAGGGGTCATGAATTTCCAGATTTAACATGTCCAGCATGTACTTTGCACCAAGTACCTTGCCTGTGGCTTTCAGGCACAGTCTCTCCTTTAACCCTCCCCAAACAGGCCACACATGGGGAAACGAGTCAGGAGGGGCAGTGACTCTCCCACAGGAAATGGAGCCCAACTCTGCTAGAACCTGAAGTCATTCCCCGGCTCATGAAACTCCCGCAGTCTCTAATCACCCCTGGAGTGGAATCCAAGGTCCCACCGTGCTCTGCAGGGACTTGACCTGGCCTGGCCCCGCTCTCCACCTGTGGCCTCCGGGCTCCCGCTGTTCTGGGAGTACAGCCACCTGCTCTCACACAGCATCTCTGCCTTGGCCCGTCCAGCCCCCTGGGAGGCTCCTCCCCAGGAACCTGCGCCTCCCCATCTCCCTGCAAGTCTCCCGCTGTCCTATGTGCAGGGACACACCCCGTCCCCGGGCCACTCCTTTTGAGGCCTTTCTCACATCATGTTTTATTATTTTCTCATATTACATTATATCATGTCTTACTGTGTTTCCCACTGCAATGTGAATAAACTCTGGACGGGGACTTTCATACCATTGGTGCTTAGAATAGCATCTGGTCCTAGCGGGCACTCAATAAATGTCAAATATGTGAACACATTGTGTAATCAGTTTTCCCTTCGTGGCCCTGCTCACCACTTTGATGCAATAGTAATATTGTTTTCTACTTGTTGCTGGTGCTCACTGGAGGCATTGCATTTGATCCACAATTAAATGTCTTGCAAACTTCTTTGCACTTAATTTTCACATACTGACATAAAGGAATATGAGTGAGATGGCATGTCTTGCTAGCAAACTTAAATAATAGGTCAGAGACCTTTGCCTTAGTTGGAATTTGAACCAGCTATGTCTGGCATGGGGTCTCGCTCACAACCACTACTGTGGACAGGTCACTCTGTCCCGGGGGTACCTTTCCTATGTCCATCCCCTGTAGGGAACAAGTGGATTAGCTCCTCCCTTGTGCAGTTGAGGAAAGTTGAGGCTCAAATTAGTCTAGAGAACAAGGAACAGAGTAAGATCCAGATCTTTCACTTCCTTATAGGTCACATCAGCCTGTGACCAATAAAGAATTTGTAGGAGAATGTCACCTCCTGATACAGAAGAAAAATGTTTAGGTCTCCCAACAGAACTAATTGAAAAAGCACATGGGGGGCACAGCCAGAAGCCAAGCACTGGGATTCACATAGGGATGGGGACAGCCATCGGTGAAGCTCGGCATCAGTCCACAGTGTCTGCGGAGATTGGAACTGGCATAGACCTCAAGAGTCCGCCTCATCCAGCGCCCGTCAAGTCAACTTGCTTAGAAGACGTGACCCGGAGAAATGGGGAACTCACCCCAGGATTTGCCTTCATGGAGTGTCTGATTCAGAGATGTGTGTTCCCAGATGCTGGACAAGCTTCAGTATCGTCCACTCACAGACATTCCATCATCCTTACTGGCAACGATCATCAAAAAATGAGATGTAACCAACAAACTCAAACAGCAGAAAGCAGCTGAGTGGTACCTGAGTGTTTTTGACCCAGGTTTACTCTTCTCCAAAGGGAGTCGTCCCTTTCAGAGGCCCTGGCTTGGCCTGCTTACCCGTTACCTACCAACGGGTCCAGGTGGAGCTTGTCACTCCTCTTCCTTCTCTCTTGGATAAAGGAGGTAAACAGGCACAGTGACAAAGGGCCTGGGCAGGAGAGTAAACAGAAACCAGAAATTCAGGAACAGACGCGTTAGCTGATTTAAAGAATAGAGAACACTCTGAGCTTCGAGAGTAGCCCTCGTTTCCTCCCCAGCATCACAGAGGAGGAGCAGGAGGAGAAAACTAGCTAACTTTTTGGAAGGGAGACAGGTGGGCGGGGAGAAAGACCAGAAGAAAGAAGTGGGCACGCCCCAGGACGGGGTCAGAGGGTGCTGTAACCAGGGGGAAAGGGGGAAGATGGAACTGAACAGCAGCTAGACCTCCAGACGGTCAGTCCAGACTCCCGAGGCCATGCACACTCTTCCTCTGCTCCAGAAGATGACTCACTAGGACAGGGTGGCCCAGGTGGGCTCTAGGTATGGGGACATCAGACTCAAGCAGAGGACAGTCATCTTTCTCACAGAGGACTAAAGGACCATCTAGGAGCTGACCCCCAACTCCCTTCTTCTGTGCAGAGTCTCGGCTAAGTCCAGTTAGACCCAGGCCTGGGGTCCACCCTGCGGCACTCCCGTAGGGTCCACGTGGAAGACTTCCTCTCCAGGAAGGAAACCCACGAGCACAAGAAAAGACGCAGACAAGTAACGCCACTTGGAAATCCCCCAATAAATGCCCTAGACCTGAGGGTCCCTAGTGAGGACAGCCATAGGAAGGGCTCACGCCTCCCAGGGGCCTTCCAAGCATGGTTTCCATGCTCTCCTAAAACAGGATGGACACACATCGCCACCAGACAGACAGACATTCGGGGTCATGACCTGACCCAGGGGTACAAACCCGCTTCCTCCTCCTCGTCCCTTCTTGTCTCGGGAGGGCTGGAGCGTGGGCCACTTTCACAGGGTCCTAGCCAGCCCAGGTCTGGGGCAGGCTCAGCAGAGAGAGACCTCCCTGTCTCAGGGGCTGGGAGACCATTACTGCACACAGTGGCTGGGTTTGGCTGAGACTTTACAGGGGCCTCTGGTGTCTCACGGGAACCACCTGCTCGGTGCTGGCGGGAGGGCACCTGGTCCCTGTACTGACTGGTCAGTCTCTGTTCATAGTGCCCACCGCACTTTCCGTGTCCCTCAGCTCTCACCTGGGAGGTAAACAGGAACGAGCACCTTCACTGGAGCGTGCACATGCGTGTGTATATGTGTCAGTGAGGGACTGGAGATACCCAAGGTTTGAGGAATTCTGAACATCCTGGATACGACAGTGCACGGGGGCACCATCAGCCAGAAGTACAAACTGCACCTATATGAATACTGGGCTAGATCGCCCAGACCTGGCCTTAGCGGGTTAGCGGGAACGAGACAGGGTGACATTGACGGCACACTGCATTTATGTAAATGAAAACAGAAACACAGGCCAAACCACAGGGCACATTTTACAGGAGACCTAGAGCTCATCACTGGAATGTGTATGCCTGGGAGAGGAGACAGGGTTAGGCTGGGGTGGGGATGAAGACCGGAAGATAAGCAGCGTGATGCCCGGAGGCTGAGATGACTCCATGATCCGACCTGAGATCCTCTGGCTTTGGGATGCTGCAGCAGACACCATACTTATGGTTTTGAGTCCGGATCTTTCCTAGGTCAGCAGGAGCAGCACACCATGCTCTCATGATGCTGGCTATCAGGCCACCGGTCCTGGTCAGCCAGGTGACCCAGAGTGTAAACAGCTGGCACTCCATGGTGGCTGTGCTGCTACACTACGATGCTCGGTGGTGTAGTGTGCTTCGTGCATTTTCAGTGTGTGACACTTTCAACACGCGGTGGTTCATCAGGACATGCTGTGAGGCAGGTGGAGTCACCCATGCTGTCTACCTAGGGTCAGGTCCAGGCCGAGCACTGACCGTGGAGTGCTGTGGCAGCACCATGAGGAGCACGGAGCAGAGGACAGTGTGTTGACTGAGAGCTTCTGATAGACATTTTGTTTAATTATTCATTACAGTCCCGTGTCTGTAGGTGATCTATAAATTTTTATGTAACAGAACTGAATTTAAATCTACCTAAAGCAACCACAGAGTGCGGGTTCCAGGAGAAAACTTCCCTAACTTGACATCATTCCTAAAAATCCTCAGTTCTCCCTTTTCAGTGCCGCTGTACCAAAGAGACATAGTGAGCAGTGAGGAGCAGGGTCTCCATGGCTGTCAGGGGAGGACAGGAAGTGGGCCTCCAGGGTGCTCCCTGGCCTGCAGCTTCTGCACCAGCTTTCCCAAGGAAGGCTCACTCTGTGTGCCGGGAAGGCTGGTGCTGGGAACGCTGTCTCCCAACCCCATGCAAGATCTTAGGCAGCTACAGCTGCAGTGACAGCCTTGTCCCTTACTGTTATACTTCATGCATTTTAAAGAATGTTAATCTTACACCTAAAATGATCCAGAACTTTAGATAATTAGGGAATACCAGTGATTGTTTAGGAAAATCAAGTCATTGAACAGGAAGCATCTCTGTAAAACAGGCATTGAGTGACAAAAGTTGCCAATTATAACGAAGGTTAAGACATACAGCGGGTGTACACATATTTACATTTATGTACACACACATATACAAATATAAAATTCATGAACTTGACCTGGAGGACATTTGCTCTTATAAACAGCTTTATTGCTTAATTTGCAATTAGGTCCTGCTTGTCTGTGTGTGGCATTAACATAAATTGATAGAGAGAAGCACCAGGTGCATTCAATTAAAAGAGCTTTAAAGAGAGGTATCATGTTTTACCACGAGGTCGCATTTTTAAAATATATTTAACAGGTTTATTCCAATGTCAGGGTTGCATAAATGAAAGTCAAGCAAACTGAAAACAGACATGTCTCCCAGGTTAACGTTCCTGCCTCCTGATTTCCATCACCTCCTCTGAAGCTGTCCAGTCATCTGCATGCAGACCTTGCCAAGGCCTTGGCACATGCCGGCAGGGCAGTTGCTCTTATCTGTGCAACACAAGGGCCACCATTTTTACTTCACTTTGGGATCTTACTCGTCTGAATCAAGCTAACCATCCGTACTACCAAGGCACAGGGCCAATCATCTCCACCACTGCATGTGGATGGACAAATGGCAACAGGAATCAGAGAACCTAACAGAGGCACTAAGAAAACCCTAGGCCTGCCAGGGAAATAGCCTGTCCTTTTCCCCTTTGCCTTTCTGGCTCTTGGCCTGTGTGAAGAACCCCTAGGAAATGCCCTGAATAGATAGCATGCCTCAGAGATGCATCAGAGAATTATGCAGAGCAAGTATTTTTAGAGTTTTCTAAAGCTATGAAAAGTTTATGAAGCAGCTTAAAGTTGGAAACTCAGGCACAGAGGGACAATGAGATACGCTTGGCTGTAGGTACTTGATTTCTGTGTAGCATCAACACCGATTCAATCAGTCGCTGCTAATACCTTCCTGGAAGACTATTCACTTAAATGCAATGGTATACAAGTTGCCTTCTTAAAATGTCTTAGGAGACATAAGTAGATACATGCACACGTCTTACCTCTTGCATAACCACAAAATAAACTCCTAGGACAAACTTTTACACGAGACTTCTAGGACCTTAATGGTATTATTTTCTTTCAATATTTCCACTTGATCATGTACTCAATAATTATAATTATTTATAATTTAACATAGGGGTCTACAATAGACTGAGTGTTTATATTCCTCCCAAATTCAAACATTGAATTCTAATCTCCAATGGGACAGGAGATGAAGATGGGCCCTTTGGGAAGTGAATGGGATTTAAAAAGACACTTATAAAAGAGACCAGAGGACTGAGGTTGTGGCTCAGTGGTAAAAGGCTTGCCTGACACACGTGAGGCACTGGGTTCGATTCTCAGAACCACATATAAATAAATAAATTAAATATAGGTTCACCGACAAGTAAATATATATTAAAAAAAGGGAGAGACAGACCAGAGAGCTCCTGGCCTTGGACAACATGTGAAGACTGTGAACAGGAAGCTGGCCTCTCCAGGTTCCTAATCTGTGGTGCCTCACTCTTAGACTGATCAGCTTCCAGAACTATGAGAAATAAGCTTCTGATATCGAGGAGTGGTCCAGCTTGGTGTTTTGTTGTAGCAGCTGCACAGATGACATGTCCAGTCCTGAGAACCACTGACAGAAGGGACACAGATTACATCTTCAAGGCACAGGAGGAAGTGAGTCTGTAGGCAAGTCAACAATACTCATGTATTTCCTGTCCATTCAAATATTTTTTTCCTTAAGAAAAATCCCAAATGCTGCCACATCCCAAAAATCTCCCCTAGAATTCTTGTGTAAATGAGTGCATGTTTTGATTCTTATCAGAATCTGCTTTGCATTTTCCAATTATGTCACGAATAAACTCCTGTCCTAATTAATGTGTGAACTGTTAAGTAGAGGAGTATGGAAGGTTTTTTCTAATTTCCTAACACCTACATAAAGCATTATAAATCCATGCTTTGCTACATTTCCTTTCTGATCCAACATACAACAAATAGTACATAAAATATATGAGACACAATTATATAACTTAGAAGTCCTAAATGAATTGATTGAACCATCAACAAAATGAAGTAAATAATATTAAAAGAAACTAGCATTTTAGGTCACTCAACATGTGAGCTTGGACACAAGCAGAGGTGGCATTCCACGGGCTGAAGGGAACAAGATTACTCCCATGCAGAGGAACTGGAGTTGGTCTCCCAGTGCCCAGGCAGTAGGCCACAGTGTAATTTCCTGACACTGAGAGGAGACTGGAACATGCCCATCTCCACCACCCAGGTGGTTCAACATGGACAACATGGCCTCGCACAGAGGCTCCAAGGAATGGCCAGGGAACCTCGGGCCAAGCCACCACAGGGCAGCAGGAATGAAATCATGACAGATTAGAGTAAAATAAGAAAAAAAAATAATAGTTCTAAAATAAGTATGTTTAGAATGTCTGAAGAGATAGTGAAATGAATAAATCCAAACCAGGAACAAGAATTTATGAACCAAAACAGATATAAAAGAAATAATGAAAGATGTATACAAAAAAAATTAGAAATTCTTAAGGTGAAAGGTATGATATTAAAATAATCACTGGGGTAATCTTAAAGTCAGTCTCAGCCAAAGAATAAATAAATAAGTAGGTCTACAGTTTTGAGAAAGATGTAACTGGTGAAGAGCTTGGAATACATGCCACTCAAGTGTTCACAGTATAAAGAGTCCCCGAAAGAAAAAAAGCTAATTATTTTTAAATTAATTAGATACTTTTATCTATACCCTTTTTTTTAAAGAGAGAGTGAGAGAGAATTTTAATATTTATTTTTTAGTTATTGGCGGACACAACATCTTTGTTGGTATGTGGTGCTGAGGATCAAACCCGGGCCACACACATGCCAGGCGAGCGTGCTACCGCTTGAGCCACATCCCCAGCCCTTTATCTATACTCTTTACTTTGGAGGGATTCACCTAGGCCACATTGTTCCATGTGTGTTCAGCATTATTTTACCTCTATAAATCACATGCCAGTCACGGATCATCAGTGTGATGACCATAGTTCTGCCCTGCACCATTCCAAGGCACCAGGATCACTAGACACCTTCAGACCATGGGTTTTCAATGTGAGCAGGCCTTGCATTAGCTAGACTTATGCTGTCGCTGGAACAACTCGGGGAGCTCAGGCTGCTCTAGGGGGATGGCGGCTTTCCCCACGTCACCTGCATGGGCCTCACAGTGACCCTGTCCTGCAGACTGAGTTTTCTGCATCTGCTTCGTTCTTCTCTGAACCAGCTCCTGAGGTTGGCTACAGGTCTTACTTCACCAGTGATCATGCCTAAGAGTCAATAAATGGGCTGTCACGGGGGGAAGGGCAAGGTAGTGTAGCAAAGAGTCTTAGAAAGCAATTGAGAAAGTAGATATAAAATTTTATGCAAGTATACAGGATATAATCTGTGCTTTAAAGGGGCAGTTAAAATTAGCAGCTCTGTTACAGTTTTATTTGTATGACATATTCTCATTAGGGTTAGACACTGACAAGCAATAGAGGATGGGACTTCTCTCTGATTTTGAAAAGCAAAGACTATAAGACTCAATCTTAAATAATTTACTTCTATATTTAAATTTGGTAAGTAAAAAAAAAAATGTTCTTTTTCCAAGAAGGTTTTTCATCATGAAAAATGACCCCAAAGGAGCAAGTGTTAAGGACGCTGTTGGAAAAGCTGCCCTCTGGGTTCCCTGGGACACCTCACCCAGGCACTGAGGAGTATGTCCTACCTCCATCCTTGGAAAGAGGACACTCTGCCCCTGAGAGGCATGGGTGGGGGGACCCACACCAGCTCAGGCTGGCTCAGCAAAGTCCCTGAATTTCCACCACTTGCGTCTTCTTGTACGTGATCTCTGGTCCATGCCTCGTGAGTTTTTGAGATACACAAAAGCACTAGCCTCCTTAGAGCCTTTATTTACTTTAACAAATAAATACGTTTCCTAGCTCAGAAGAGCCACAACTGTTTTGGAGGGTAAATATTTCATTCACCATGTTTAAAAAGAGCAAGCTGTCTCCTCATTGATTCTGAGGTGAGGACTGAAAGATGACTACCAACAGGTACAGAGACCCTTGAATGAGAATTACCTGAAGAGTTAAAGGCATATTCCAATAATGAAATAGGAAAAGCTTGATTAATCAAAATTACTGTCCACCCTCAAAATGCCATTTTCATTAATTCAAAGTTAGACCTTTTCATTAAAAATCCCATCCTGTTCATTAGCATGCACATTGATGATGACTTCTTTAAGTGGGAACAGTACAGATTACCTATTTCTGAAGCTTAATAATTTGGTAATTATTTTGAAAGCTCCAAACTATGTAAGAAAATCAGTAAGAGGCTGATGAGGTTATATCATCAAAACCTTAGTGTGAGCCGCTGAAAACTTTGGTCATTTTAAGCATTTATATATGACTCTGTAATGTAATGGTAAAAAACACGAGATGGAAATTGTAGGTCTGGCTTCCAGATTTGCTCTCACACATGGCCTTGCTGTTATCATGTCTTCCCAGACTGTTTTTATCATGTTTACAATATTATGCTTGTAATAAAATTCAGAGCCAGAAGAAAAAATTTGTGAAAAAACATAAAAAAATAGTAACAAGAGAAAATATGGATCACAAAATGAAAAAAAAAAAGAAAAAGAAAGAAAGAAAGAAGGAGAAAAGAAAAGAGATTTGCCCTTTAACTAAATAGAGCTAATGGCCAATGGCAACTGGATACCACACAGGTCCCTAGTGCCAATGGAGACATGGCTGCCCAGTTTCCCTGCAACAGCCTTCTGTTAAACAGGTCCAGAACTATCCAAATTGGAGGTCAAGAATCAGGTTGCATGCAGGCTTAAAAGTCACCAGTGCTATATATTTTGTCTAATACTTTTATTCAACTTACAATTGTGAGCATATTCAAGTCACTGAATTGTACTTTAAAAATTTTGCAGACCTTGGGCGCGGCCATCTAACTGTGTAATTACTATGTAAATCCACCTTGTTATACGCACCTGATCCCTGGTGATTACTCACCAGCATTAGTAATTTCTATTTGTTTAAATGTCGCTAATTATATATATAATAACTCACATTTTCCTGTATATACATTGTCATGCAAGTTTAGAAAAACTATTCACATTATTGAAACATTTTATTTATAAACTTTTCCCTGAAGAGTAAGTAAACTTTAAATCTTTTAATGCCCAAGTCAGTATAATAAAATATAATTTTTTGTTGCCAGCCACAATAAATTTGTTGTCCTTCATTTCAGAGTTAAACAATTTCCTTCCTTGGCCACTGAATCAGCGGTATGGCAAACAATATTGATCCCTATAATTTTCCCTCTTGTACACCATTCATAGCATTTATAGCAAGCCTATGAGACCAAGTTGCTGGCACACATAGATACTTAGAAAAACTGCACCCTCGTCTCTCCCTCCCTGGACTCCATTATCAGGTCAGCTACAGATCTGATCCACTATTCAAATGGATGATGGTGTACCTCCTAGGGAATATCTTTAAATTACCCCAGAGCTTCAGGACATCCCCACTGATACTAAACTTCTCTCCAGTAGCTCCCTTGGATGACAGAAATCCCTGCGGCTTTAAAAATCAGACTAAGTGGACACTGATAACATGTAGATTTGACAAAATATAGGGGTAGTAGACTTGCTGTGAATTTTTTTGTTTGTTTGTTGTTTTGTCACACAGGATTAAACTCAGGGCACTCAACCACTAAGCCAGATTCCCCAGACCTATTCTGTATTTTATTTAGAGACAGGGTCTCACTGAGTTGCTTAGCACCTCCCTTTTGCTGAGGCTAGCTTTGAACTCAAGATCCTCCTACCTCAGCCTCCCAAGCCTCTGGTATCACAGGCATGTGCCACTGTGCCCATCTTTCAGTGAATTTTCAAAAACAGAAAATTGGGGCCAGTCTGGTGGCTCACACCACTGTAATCTCAGTGACTCAGGAGGCTGAGGATCAGACGTTCGAGGCCAGCTTCAACAAATTATCAAAACCCTTTTCAAAATACAAAATGAAAAATGGCTGGGGATGTAACTCAGTGGTAAAACACCCTGGGTTCAATCTCCAAAACCAAAATAGAAAAAGAAAGAAAAGAAAAGAAAAAGGTAGATTTTCTGCCCATGATGGGAGCCGAGCTTGTTTTCTGCATAATTATATCTTCTAGAATATTCTGAAAGAGTAAAGCCTTGATTTCAAATATCACCCAACGTGAAAACACTTCTACTGTAACCCAGAGGCAGTTAATATTTTTAATGAAGACAAAAGCACATAGAAAATAATTACATTTCTTTTAAATCATAGTTTAAAGCAAACTAATTGAATTTAAAAGTAAACAAGAAAATATCAATTAGATATCTATTTACTCTCTTGTGTAATTATATTGTTTTACTGCCCATGTTTCACAATTGTTGCCAAGCAGCTTTTAAATCCCATCATTAGTTTTCCAGAAAAGAAAGTGGGAAGTGTTGTGTTTTGGCCTCCCAGGTGTTGTTTTGATAGGTACGAGGCTGCTCAAACTGTCATCTTTGCAAACAGGTGCACTAGGTACACTGGATTTTTGAAACATCCTGACCTATTAAAAGCATGTGGGCTCATGGAGATCTGGTTCTTAAAAGACAGTCACTACAATTGTTCATGGGGACTTTGTTTTGAACTAACCATGCACATGTTAGTTGGCTTTTGGTCACTGTAATCAAAACACTGACAAGAACAACTTAGAAGAGGAGAGACTCATTTTGGCTCACAGTTCAGAGTCCTCAGTCCATGATAAGTGGCTGCACGGCTCTGGGCCTGAGTGAGGAAGAACATTATGGGGAAGGAGGCAGAGGAAGGCTGCTCTGCTCATGGTGGGGGACTGGCCAGGGAGAACATGGACACTCCCAGGTGGCCCCCAGAGATGTGCTGACTCCAACTTGGTCCCACCCCCCCACCGTGGTCCATCCAGCTATCCGTGGACTAATCCACTGACGAGCTCAGAGATCTCGTGACCCAATTGTCTCCTAAAAACTCCACCTCTGAACCCTGTTGCATGGGGAGCCAGGCATTCCAACCAGGAGCTTTCTGAGAACATTCCAGAGCCAACCCAATAAACTGCTTTCCTATTCTCCTGGTTCAACCTTCCTCCTGTTTCCCCCTTCCTGAAATAAGTTACCATGAGCCGAGAAGTTAAACTGAAGAACATGCTTTTCTAAATCACATTTCCAAGTAACAAGAAATTTTGGGTCTGTATCATCCAGAAGAAGGGCTGGGTGTGTACCTTTGTGTGTAATATGTAATCTGTCTGGTCAGGGTCACTTCTTCATTTTTTCAATGCCCTTATTCATGATTCTACTCCTTTCGATATATAGCTTTTCTCTCATTTAGTCAAAAGATAATAATAGGCTAGTCCTATCTTTAATAAAATTCTACTTAACAGTCATTAGTGCATCGTAAACCATCCCGCCCACTGTCTGAACTTTCCTGCCCATGATGCCATTAATATGTGAAACCATCCCAAAAGAGACCTAAGTATTACTTTAAGCATCTCAACATCATGCAGCAGAGCTCTGAAAGATTATATTTACTCTCAGCTTTAAAAGGCAGGTAAATAAGTGAAGGCTGCCAGAGTTCTCTCCACAGTGTCTTCTACCACAGCTTCCCTGAGTCTGCCCTAAGAGCCACTCGCCTGATGCTTTCTCCTGGAATCCCCCCGGTGTTTATAAAGGACGTATCATTTAGCATTTGAAGACTAGTTTGCATTGCCCTGTAATGAACTTTCTGGTGCTTCAGCTTCTGAATTAGATTTTATATGCTGCAAAGGTAAACATCTTTCCTGCCAGCCTTTTAGCCCCATGCTGAGTCTTAGATACGAGGTGCAAGATCTACCTAGGGAATGACACTCTTGGACTAAGAGAATCACATGGTGCTCTGTAGATCTAGACCATTCCTGACGAGACCTTCCTGCCTTTGTCTCCTACAGTAATTGTTCTAGCCCTCAGAGCCGCAGCGCAGTTCAAACCCTCCTGGCTGCTCACCCCTGTGGTCCGTCCACCCACCTGGACGTGTGGCTTGTTCTGGTGCTGCTGTTGGTTTGCCTGGCATCACACTCATCTGCAGCAGTGGGTCTCAGGTCTGGTCCTTCCTCAGACTGAGATAATGACATAACTATATGCCACTCCTGGACAGAGTGTCTTGCCGGACTCCTTCCCACCTACATGACCTCCACGCGATGCTCTGTGCAATGGCACAGCACATTCAGAACCTGAGAACCAACAAACAAAACACCACTTAGCAACATTTCCACTTACACAAGTTACAAATTCCTTCCTTCTGTGGGCTCCTTAGATGCCCATGATCACCCATCTTCGGCAGCCACTAAGCATGTATAGTTTTCTAGCACTTTCCAAATGAAATTCAGAGGAGGACATGTGTCCTAAATTGTAGGGGACTGTGGATCTGAGAAGAAGTTGTTGGTTCATTGTGAATGTTACTTATTTACTAGAGCTATAGACACTTGTGGGGCAGATAAGACATTCTAAGAAGACGACTTAGCAGAAAAGCTAAAACAAATTGTTTGGAATCAGCAAAGGAGGTCCCATTTGTCCCACCTGCGAGGACAACTTATCTCCCTTTGCCCACAGCAGGTCTCTCCTATCCAAAGGTGAAATGAGTGGCTGATCCAACCTAGCAAACCAAAACCAATTTTGAGTTGCACCAAAATGGGTGAATGATTCTAACACTCCACTAGTGACACTAGAAAAAAGACATCTGTCCAGTTAAACACAGGGTTAGTATCCATCCTAAGGTCTTTCTCATAAAGCCAGGACAAGAGCCAAGAGCACTGCTAGGAAACATTTGGCTAGTTGTCAGAAAGCACGCTCACAGTAGGTAGAACAAAACTCAAAACTAAAAAGGAAAAAAAAAAAAGTGGAAAGGTGTACCAGAACTTCAGTGGCACCAAAACTCTCATTCACATCAGTTATAATAAACCTGAATCTTGAGAAAATTTTCTTAAAATGGCTTCTCAACTGAGATGGTGCCTTTTCAGTAGCAGCTGGGAGGAAGCCCTGGCTACCGGCAGGTTTGCTAGGAGCAGACCTCTGCCTAAGGCTGGCACCGGGAGCCCAGTGTCCCTCCGTGGCAGGCAAAAGTTTGCCAGGCCCTGTTCCAGCCACACAGCCACGTGCTGACACTTGCGGAAGACAGGACATTTCCAGGTTATGTAGGAAATCTTGGTAACTCCGGATGGCCACCATCATGGCTTTGCTGTATACATTTGGTGACCCTGAAAACATGACAGTGTTTACAGTTTGGTCACCAAGTTTTGCTCCTCCCCCCCCCCCCAGATTCCCTAATGGCACTGTGGGTCCATCCCTTGGTCAGACTTCCACCCTGTTCTTGAGCCTCACTGCAGGCGCCCGGCACTGGTCCCCAAGGAAATCGCAAGACGGTTGAAACCACTGACCCAGAGGGACATCGCGTCGCAGCTCCTGTTCTCTGTGGGACACAGAGAGGTTCCCACCGGGACACCGCAAGACCCCCTACGCAGTTGCAAGATTCGTGGAAATATGTGCTCATGTGTCACTGCTTTCTCTCCACGTGGCTCCCGCGGTGGCTTTGCAGGCCCCTCGGGCGCACAGCGGTCTCGGCGGCGGCGG